CAGCGTCATTTGAAATGCGAGTTTTCTTTAAGCTAAGTCTAGTCTAGATGGTAATCATATAGCCATTACGTCCTTTATTTCCAAATATATAAGTAATTATTAAAGTCAATAGAAATAACTACAATAACTTGGAACCCTAAAACAAGTTTTTTTTTTTTTTTGTGGGGAGGGGGGGGAGGGGGAAGGGGAAGGGGTCTGAACTCCTAGCCACGGCACTGGGTGTATAATTTTACATTTAACTAAGTTATCTCATTTTTGTGTTCACTTATAACACTAAATCCTACTTCTAATCCTACTTTTAATTATAAATGTATAATAATAATTATAAATTTTTAAGTTTTAATTATAAATGTATATATATATATATATATATATATATAGATATAGATATATATATATATATATATATATATATATATATATATATATATATATATATATATATATATATATATATATATATATATATATATATATATATATATATATATATATATATATATATATATATATATATAAAGAGTTTGATTATTTGAAAAAATACAACTTTGTGACTTTGTGATGGAACTTAAAGTTTCATGCCCTTCGGCAATGATCAGCCATATTTTATTCTTTAAATTAAGAAAAAGCCGTTAAAAAATACAAAATACAGAAATTAATAGAAAAAAACCATAACAAAGCAATGGAATAAGTTCTGACGTCAACCATCACGAATAGGGCGAATAGGGCGAGAAGGAACTTGTTTCGATGCCTGCACTTGGATACCATTTCACTTTTTTTGTTTAGCAGATTTTTATTTTTGAAAAATAGAATTTCATATTTTTCGTATGTGCATAGTTTGCAGGACAGTCTGGGTTTAAGTTGGCATTTTTTAATTTCCAAAATTCTTTTGATAATTCGCTGTCATTTTTGTATTTTAGAATGTTAAATGATTTTATATTTTTTATTATATTATATATGTATTATATATATATATATATATATATATATATATATATATATATATATATTATATATATATATATATATATATATATATATATATATATATATATATATATATATATATATATATATATATATATATATATATATATATATATGTATATGTATATATATATATATATATGTATATATATATATATATATATATATATATATTTATATATATATATATATATATATGTGTGTGTGTGTGTGTGTGTGTATGTGTATTTTAATGTATAAAAAAAAGTAACGACTCCGACTTCAGTTGTTGAATTTTTTGAGTACAACTTCGACTCCAACTCCGACTCTGACTCCAAAGCAAAATTTTTGAAAAATTCTTTGAATTCTTTATAAAATACTACGCGATAAGTTAAAATTTTCTTTTTGACAAATTTGTGAAATGTTCTTTGAGGCTTAGTATGAACATAAAGTTAATTGAATGTTTTGTACATGCACGTGCAATACCGAGAAGTTTTACTATTGGAGTCTGAGTCGCGATTTTGTTAAGCGTCTCCGACTCCACAGCCCTGCTTGAAATATTAAAAACTATGACTTTTAATATTGAAATATTAAAAACTATTACTTGAAATATTAAAACAAAAACCCTTAAAGTTTTTAGAAGTTGAAATCTCTGTATAGGTTATTTAAAATCACAAATTATGAAAAGATTGTGTATCATAGGTTGAATTCCTTTAAAACTCATCTCAGTATATGGGATATGAGACTCACTGTATATGGGATATGAGACTCACTGTATATGGGGTATAAGACTCACTATATATGAGTAATAATATATGGAACTTACTCTAGAAGAGTTTTAGCGCGTAAAAACATGACAGTAAAATCTTTTACAAAAAAAAAATCGACGTGCTCGGTGTAGTTAAGGCACTTTTAAAATAATAGAGCGTCTGTATGATATTTTGTTGACTGCGAAATTTTTCCGTTAAATGGTCTGGTCTGTGAATTATGAAAAGACGAAAAAACTTAAAATTATAAATTTTGCAGTATCATAAAATATAAATGTTTGTAGCGAAAAAATCCAGACCGATGATTCTTTTTTTTTTTTTTAAATCATCCTTAAATCACAATTGCTCGTCCAAATTTAAATAAGATTTTATATTAACAAGTTTTTTAGGTGAAATGAAAATTATAGTTTAACAATATGATCTGTTCTGATCGTTTATTGGCAATTTTCCATAATTATAAGCTCTTTCTTGGTTGGAATTCCAGTATTTATTGTGAAAATTGATAGAAATATTGTGTTTTCACAACTATATATAGTTAATATAAGTCAGAACCGATTAGAACTAGGATCAGTAGTAAATTAAGAAACTTTTTTAAAAGATTTTAACTAAATTCATATTAATGCCGATGAGCGGAATAGATCTAAAGACTCCAAATTAGTGTTCTTTAGATACACTTTTACGGGTTGTAAAAAGGTTTTGAAAATTATATAAAAAAAAGAAAGGTTTCTTTAAATATTATAAAAACTTTGAGCAAAAAAAATTATAGCATTTAAAGATCTTGCTTGGACATAATATGCTGACAAAATCATGCTAATTCCAAATAAAGTATTCGAATATTTTGTAAATCGCCTTAACTACACCGAGTGGTATGCTAAAAATAGACGTGAAAATAACGATTTTACTATCTAGCATGTTATGTTATGCCAACGTTGTAACAAAGTTGAAGGCGTTTCAATTTTTTGATCTTCATCTGTTGTATCACTATAGTTTATATTATAACTTATTCAATCTTTTGTTACGACATTTGAATATATGCTAAAAATTTATTTTTTTTATATATATAAGAAAGGTTTTCAGTAATTTGCGTATCTTGATGAAAATACTAGTGTGTTTCGATTATACGAGAGAATGCGTTTCTTGTAATTATAGTTATTTAAAACAAAAATTTTCAATTATAGCTAATTTAAAATAACAGAAAGTATTTATATTTTTTAACTATTATTAAAAAAATATAATAATAATCAAAAAATATAATATACAGCAGCTAGATCATATGTACATACATTTGTAACAAATTTTGAACTTTTTGAACTTTGTCTACAAGAGAGTCATTATTGGAAGAACTAGACTAGCTGTTATGACAACAGTATTCCATAGAATGACGAATAAGGGGTTTATAAAGGCAGTGAATGAAGTCACAAGTAATACAATATTAAGCATGGTATAGAAAAACAACTTTAGCAGATCGTAAATATGCAACGGATTGTATGTGTATATGTACGGATATGTATAACTATGCAACGGATTATATATAGGTACGTAAGTACCTGAGTAAGAATATTCGTTATATTCGTTATATTCGAATATATTCGTTTATATTAGAATATTCGTTATATTCGTTTTTTTTATCGTATATCAACAACAATGAGATACCTGTTAACAGTACACAACTAAGCTTTGTTTGGATTAAAATTCACAAACCATTTCAAACTGTCATAGAAGGAAAATATTACTCTAGACGAGCTGTCTATTCTAAGCTATCAAAGTTGTGATGAACTTTAGCCAAGTCTAAAATTTGTTGTAGTGTTGTCAGTAAGTAAAGTCACTCGAGATGTAAATTTGTCCAGAAGATCATTAACATGCGTGTATCAAAATTAACAATGCGTGAATCAAAAAACTATGCTAATAAGGACTTATCTGAATTTAATTTATCTGATAAATAATTGTTTAAATGTTTTTTTTAAATATGAGAACGTAATAAATATTAAATAATTAAATCTTGGACTTATTTCATTTTTGCATGACTGAAATTTATTTATAAGTTTTATGATAAAATTAGTTAAAAGGTTTAAAAAATATAAACTAACTTATAAATAAATTTCAGTCATGCAAAAATGAAATAAGTCCAAGATTTAATTATAAAAAGTGATAAAACTTTTATCACTACTAGACTTACTATGTATCACAAAAATATCTAAAAAACTTATAAAATCACAAAAAAATTAAAAAAAACTATTTAATTTCTCAAAACTCTATGATTTGAATTACGATTTAAATGTAAAAACTTGAATTTAAAAATTGTTAAGTTTGAAAGGGTTTCATTCATTTTATTGTTACGATAAACTAAAAAAATAACGCTTATATAGTTGGGTAGCTAAGCAAGGTTTGGTTTAATAAGTAAGGAAAAGTTGTAATACTGAGTCAATAAACTTACTCAGTATTACAACTTTTCCTCAGTATTACAACTTTTTTACGCTACCCGATAGCGTAGCATGCTTTATTAAAGATAGAGGTAATGAGGTCAGGGCCGGCGTGGTAGATATCAAGTGCGTGTATGTTGGGGAAGGGGGAACGTGGGGAATGAGGTGTGCTTTAGGGTTTTTACAAACTAAAAAAAAAAAGAAGGAAAAATGTCCCATTATTAACGACTGGAGATAGTCCAAATTTCCTTTTGCCAACTGAATCTAAAAAAAGGTACCAATTTGCCGACTGAAGGTACAAAAAATCCAAATTAGTCTGATTGTGGTATAAAATTCATTGAATGATGGGGGAAGAAGGGTCTCCCCCCCAGACACTTTTGCGCCTGCCTTAAGTGTAGTTATTAAATAAAATGATTAAAATAATTTAAATAAAAAATGTAAAATGTTAAAATTAAAAAATTCTAATAGTTTGTTAACTTAAAATTTTTTATTTTACACTTGATTTGTATATTTTGTGTTTTTTTTTTAAAGTGTAAATAGTTATCGTTTCTTGAAGATAAAGTATAAACAACTTATTAAAATATCAAGATTATCTTTTTGGTGTCAATTGCTAAGCCAACCATTCTTAAAATATATCGTATTTACAGTATATTTAATCGCGAGAAGTTTTATAGTTGTTTTTCTCAGAAGAATCAAATGTGTCTCTAAGGATTTTCCTATTCATATTAATGATTAAGTTATTTTAAGCTTGATAATCGCAAAAAAAACTTCAGAAACTTAAAAGAAATTAATTATTTAACTATAATTGCTATTTTAAATAGTTGTTAAAAATATCGATTATTAGTAGATTGCGTTGTATATTATGAAAAGATGAATACAAAGCTTGACGTGTTACCACAAAAAGAGCAAGCTGGAATCGGTTTTATCTCGACTTACCCTATTTCAATTCCAAGCTTCGTGAAACTGTTAGAAATTGTGAGTTTTTGATAAAGTTATCACTTTTTATTATGTACTACTAATTTACAAAATAAATTAGTAGTATATAAATAGCTTTCATAAAATTGAAACAATTTTTTTTTAAGGAAATATTTGTTGTTGTAAATACACAAAACTTTAAACAAATATTTTTTATAATAACTACATTTTTTATTAACATATATTTTTAAAATTTTTGTTGTTAAAAATACTTAAAACTTTTTTTGCTTTTTAGTTATTTGTTATTTAACAAATCTATAAAATATATATATATATATATATATATATATAAATATATATATATATATATATATATATATATATATATATATATATATATATATATATATATATATATATATATATATATATATATATATATATATATATATATAATATATATAAGAAACAACTAAATATTGCTAACTAAAAATATTACTTTTGAAAGCGATTGTTTTTAAAATCAAATAGTTAATAATTTAGTCTGAGTCAAGTACCAATCAAGCATAAAACTGTCAAAAAAAAAATTTAAATTAGTTGATTCAAATTTTTTGTGTAAACTTTTAACTTTGTTACTGTTTACTTTAATGTTTTTGAACATATTTGTGATGTGATGTGATAAACCAAATCCAAGCTAAAGTACTGCGATAGTAAAGTAAATTACATTTTCAGAGATTCAATTTATTTTTTCAAATTGCATGATAAGCAACATTAACAAGAAATCGTTTATCAATTTTTTTTATTTAATTTTGTTTCTTTCATAACAACTCAATGTAGAAACATTTTATTACCGCGATAAATGTATTCAGTGCTTCCAGAAAGCATTTGCGCACTAGTAATTATTTTTTTATTCTTATTCAACTTTTAGTAATTATTTTTTATTCTTTTTCAACTTCAAATAAATATAAATCGAATTTCGGACAAAATTTTTTTTAATAAAAGATACAATTATTTAATTAATTATAAAGATACAATTAGTTAATTATTTGTCCAATTTTTTTCTTCTTCTGTGAATTAAAAGTTTAACGACTACTCTGAAAAATGAGTGAAAACAACTCAATGCAACTAAGACCTGGTACTCGTTTTTCCGAACAAAAATATAAGTTTTTTCAATTACAATATATGTAAGTTTTTTCATCTAAATCTGGTAAAAGTAATGCGACTATAACAAACCGTCAAGCGTAGTTTTATTTAGAAAAGATGCAGTTTTCAACATAAAGTACCTTGGGGCTTGATTATAGATAAGTCTATAAATTCGATTTTTTCATAAAAGTATTGGTGCTTCTTTCAATGAATGTAACTTGACATTTCTAATCAGACATTATTGGGGAAAATTATCCCAATTTTTTATGAAAACGGAAGCTACTATTTTTAATACCATACCTAAATAAGTATGTTTGACAATAATGTCACGTTTGATTTAGATAACCAATGGTAGTGTTAATTTTTCTACCAAAGTCGTTTTTGCATAAATAATCATAACTTATAGTCCCATTTAAAAAACTGTATTCGGTATTTAGTATCATTTCTTGAAATACTCGGGACTTATTCAGCTATCTTGAATTAATAAATTATTCTAATCAGAATGCGTAAACAATAAAAAAACAGAAGCGGTAAACTTTTTAAATAAATTACTTTCGATTCGAATTTTTTGTTTGCATAAATTAAATACCAATAACTTAAATATTTTTCGGTCTGCCATTAACAACCAATCGAATTTGTTTTAAATTATCCGTTTTTTTTTTTATTTTTTTTTGCATTTTATAAAACAATTTTTTGTATTCTTTTTTATTAATTACTTTTTAAATAAATTTCTGATTGTTAATAGTCAATAAAAAATGTAAGTAGTATAAATTGAAGTGACGAAACTGTCATTTGGAATACAGTTAGTATTTCAAATGACAAATTTCAAAATTGCAACATCAAAAATATGGGTTTACAAAACCAGGTCCGTTGCTAAGAGATTTTAATGAGAGGTGGGTGGGTGATGTATCTGTTTTTTGCCTACTGAAGCCAAAAAAAATTTTTTTTACCCAACTTCTATTAAAAATAAAAAGTCCTCGTTAGCCGACATTTGCCGACTGCCAACTATAGATCCCATTTCGCCAGATTCCAGTGTCCTATTTCCCGACTAATAAAGTTCGTAGGGGGGCTAGATATTCCCTACGCCCTCCTCGGGACGGCCCTATACAAAGCGTATCAATTGAAACCAAATAGCAAATTGTTGACACGCACAAAAGTGGTCTCAGCAATCGAGAAATTGGACGTCAACTCGAGATCAGCGAATGCAGGGTCATTTTATAACTATATAAGTAACGAACATTTGTTGAAATTTTCATAAAGTTCAGTAAAGTATTAGTGAATATATTATGTAAATGAGCCAAATCAATCAAAAATTGTACTGTTTTGAAAATCATGTGATATTTGTAATATAAAATTAGACAGAACTAACTAAAGGATGATCTAGAATTATAGAATTGGCATCCTTGAATTTCTTTGTTTTTGTCAATAAAAAATTTGGACCTGTGTTAAATGTTATTATAATAGCAAAAATAATTAAAATTTTTTTTTTTTAAGGTTTTAACTTTTTTAATTGTATAGAAGTACTTTTTGTTCGTTAGACGCAATTCAAACATAAGCATAGCCAAAATCACTTTAGACTTGGATGCAACAGCGGATGCACATCAAGTTAGCCGATCAACAATTTGCAAGCTGATGAAGAAAAAAAAGTTAATATGTACCTTGCAACAAAAATGCCGCTACTAAGCATCATAGGCCATCTTAAACAAAGACAATTGGTACTGCATGGACAGTAGAGCAATGAAGAAAAGAAATTTTTTCAGACAAATTTAATTTTAACCTTTTCAAATCACAAAAAATGGATTTTAGTGAGGAGGAATTAAAAAGAAAAACATAACCCTCATTTTATCATTTAAAAAAACTACAAGGGTTAGGAGACACATTTGGCATATGGGACTGCATTGCTGGATCTAGCACTGGCCTGGTACGTTTTTACACTGATTGTCTCTATATTTGGTATAAAGAGATATTAGAAGATTATTTACCGCCTTTAATGGACGTTTTTTGGAAGTGACTTTAATTAACAATTTCAACAGGATAACGCTTCTTGCCGCACAGCACGCTCAGTCAAACAATACACAGAAAAAAAAAATTTAATTTAATGCCTTGGTCAACTCGCTCAACTGATTTGAATAATATAGAGAATCATAGGATGGATTTCAAAAAAGCAATTTCATTAATTTGGTGCAGCTGAACACTCAAATGCAACCATTGAGGAATACCGTGACGCAATATTTAGTCAAAAAATTGTTAGATTTCATGCCCCGTAGTGCCTTGAAATGTCTTAAAAACAAAGGTGGCGATATAAAATATTAAATTTGCTTAGAAAAAATGCGCTAATTTTTTAACTTTAAACACAATTTTTTTATCTCGTTTTTTGTCATTCTTATTGGACTCTAATTAAATTAATGATAATAATAAAGAAATTTTTTTTTTTAAATTTGACTCTTGTCAAATTTAAAAAAATGTACTCTGTTTTCTTTTATCATTAAATTAAAAATATAATCAATCCGTCATTTATTGTTTTTGAAATACACTCATTTGAAGTTGCGAGTTAAAAATTAAGAGTTAAATTTTGTTTAAAAAAAAAAATTATGAGTGAACTATTTTTGCGTTTTATTGAATTTAAGAACGCAAATAATTCGTAAATGGAGTCGTCTATAAATTACATCACGACACTCTCAACCGATTTTGACCTCCTCGCCCGCCTCTCGTCACAACATCGTAACACTTTAGTAACAAGTCCCGTAGGAGTCTTCACAAAATCACTAACCCCGTTAGTGATTTTGCCTTATAATCGTATACATTGATGTCAAATATACTTAGATTTACTCATATAGGTTCTAGTTAAACTGAACAAGATATTTTATATTAAACACATTTTGTTGCTCAAATTTTTTGCTGCTTTTATGTGTAAATATTGGTGTGTTTTATGTGTAAATATTGGTATATCCCACATCGGTGTAAATATTTAAGAAGTTTGTAGTATTAACTCTTTTTAATATTATTAATTATTAGAAAAAGCATTTCATATGGTATCAGTTTTTTATTTTTCTAAAGAAAACAAACTGATACCATATGTGACAAATATTTATTAGCCACATTATTTAGTGTAATTGCCTCCATCATTAACACATACGAAGATGAAGGAGTGTGTATAATCACCGGTGATTTTCAGTCATTCCCAGAAAATAAATATGGCACAGAAGCTCGAAATAACCAATCACGAAACAACTTTTCTAAGCATTTATTTAAGTTTCTTGAAACAAATGAGCTTTTTTTTTTTGGATATAATTAGTGGTACTGGTCCTACCTATACCTATAAGCATAAAACGCTAAATAATTCTTCTTACATCGATCACATAACAGTCTTAAAAGAATCATCAATATGCTTTGCAAACTGTAAAATTATTCCTCCTTCACATTTAAACATGAGTGACCATTTACCCATCCCTACACTATTAATCTTAAAAAATAATAGTCTAACTCCAGTTATAAATAGATTAATATACTTAAAAAATAAATACAACCCCAAAGTATGCATGGAAGGATGACAACTTTATTGAAATTTATAATCGGAACCTCTCAGTTCTTCAAAGATTACACTTTTATTGGAGAAGCAACAGAAAAACAAACTCAAACAACATGCTAAAAAATAAATAATGCTGCCACTTTAGCAATGGAAGAATGTTTTCAAAAAAAAAGAATTTTACATTTACTCTAAATAATGGTGGACACCAGAAATTAAATTATGCAAAGACATTCTCTCTTTCCACTTTAAGGAATGGAAAAAATGCAACAATAACAGATCACAGGAATCCATTTTATTTAATAAATACAAGCAAGCTCGTAAAATTTTCGTAAAACTGTATAAGCAGCTCATAACCTAAAAATCAATAAAATTACCAAAAACATTGAAT